TTTTAAAAGAAGAGGGAAATTTTGGTGTATTCAAGTTTTTGGGAAGAAAAAGAAGAGGAAAATTTGGTTCATTGAATTTTTTAGAAAAGAAACAAGTGGGAATTTTGGTGGTTTTGATATGTGGGAAGAGAAAGAAGTGGGAAAGTTTGATTCTTTTGATTCTGAAAGAGGAATAAGGAGGGAAACTTTTGACTTTTCAACTTTTTGTAAAAGGAAAAAAGAGGGTAATTTGGTTCTTTCAATTTTATGGAATAGAAAGAGGATGGAAAATTGAGTTTTTCTAATGTATGGAAGGAGAAAGAAGGAGGGAAATTTTAGTATTTTTGTGAAAAGAAAGAAGGAAACAAATTTGGTGTTTTCAATATTTTGGTTTTTCATAATTTTAGCTTTTGAAATATGAATCTTTAACTTTTATATGGAGGGCATGACTAGTTAAAATTATTCTTATATGCTTTGAAGGCTAATATGTATATATGTATGTAATTTTTTATGGGCTAATAAATAAATTAACCATTAGTTACAACAATTTATACTAAACTTGATAAGTAATCTTTGACGGTTCGTTGTTTAGGATATAAAGTATATGGTTAGGGTATAAGGTATAATGTACATATGGTTTAGGGTGTATATGGTTAGGGTATAAGATATTGATGGTTTTGACGGTTCTAAGTTTTTTATTAACATATGTTCACTTGAAGTCATTTGAAGTCTTTAACGGCAGGAGATCCCTTTTTAATTTATGTTTATGGTACGTGGTTAGGGTACAAGGTATGTGGTGTAAAGTATAGGATATATGGTTAGGGTATAACAATTAGCAAATATCACTTTTTATCTATGTTTTGAAAATCAAAGTATGAATTTCACTTTTAAATTAACTATACTAGAAAAATCACAATTCAAGGACATATGATTAGGGTATAGATTATGTGGTTAGTGTATAATGTATTGATGGTTTAGGGTATACAATCAACAACATATACTAACTTAATATTGTTGATTGAGGGTAAAGCTAAGTGTATAGGATATATGCTATTGAGTAAGTTATGATTGAAGTCACAATAATTTTACTAAATTTGATAGCTAATCTTTAATGGTTCAATTTTTAGGATAATTCGAACAATTTTACAAATAACTCGCTTGGCAACAGTTTACTAAAGTTATTTGGGCAATGATTTATTTTGAAATAACTCCTTTTATCACTATGTTTTTGCCAAATACCACACGCAATACCAGATTTGCATGGTTATACTAAACGAGATACTTTAATCCAATTACTACTGAATTAATACCAAAATATCAAATAAACAATTAACGGTGTCTTTTGATTGCAAATATTGATATCACCATTACTATTAGCTATAATACTTTACCAATTATGATTAATTACATAACAGGTTTGCAAGTCATACAAATTGATTTAACATTTTGACTAGTTTTTTTCAAAAAAATAAAGTATATATATACGAGGTAGAAATAAATTGGTTAAAAAGTTGAGAAAATATTTTAAATTAGTGTAATAAAATGTGTAAGTTGGTAATGAGTAATGAGTTAAGTTACTTGATGCGCTGGCCCGAACAACCTGAAACCCGACCCGCCCGCAACCCGCCCGACCTAAAACCCGATGAACCCGCAACCCGATTTGCCCGCAACCCGATTGAATCCGAACCCGATGAACCCGCAACCCGACTAACCCGCAACCCGTTTGAACCCGAACCCGATGAACCCGCAACCCGACTAACCCGCAACCCGTTTGAACCCGAACCCGATTGAACCCAGCCCGAACCCGCCCGATTGACACCTGTAGTTGGGAGGCAACCCATTCTAGCTTTGTTTTCTTTTCCTTATTTTCTCATTTTGTGATTGAGTAATGCGTTTAAGTGGTTGAATGGTGATCATAGTGTCAGAGTTGTGTGTTTGAAAGGTTTTGATGTTTTGTGATTGAGTTAGGGGCACGGTTGATTAGATTTAGTCTCAAAATTTTCTAAATTGCCATGTTTTTCATCAGTTCACGGTTTGGCTCTATTATCACGATCATCAGAAGTTATAGGTGCGATAGATATATACTGGTGGTACACAAGTGTAGGTCTTTGTCTTCTTGATGGCTTTCACAATGATAAAGTGCATAAGAAAGAGAGGAAGACGCATAAGATTTATAGGTACGATAGATATATACTATAAGTACTAATACTACTAGTGCTAGAATATTTAAAGTACGAAAACTAAAACGAAAAGGTAGCAAAAAGTACAGTACTATTTGAAATAAGAAATAAAAGTGCGGAAACTGAAATTGTCATAAGTTCAAACTAGAAATATAAAAGATAGAGAATGTCCATGTGATGCCATCAATCACTTAATGTCTAGTCCTCATCTTCCTCTGTCTCAAACTCTTCCTCCTCGCCAACGTAACTAAAACGCGGTGGGCAAGGAGTGCGCAAGTAGGTGTGGGCGACTGCAGCTAAGTCGAGATCGTGAAATCTCATAAGCTCGTGAGTGCAGTCAAACATGTGCCTCATCCACTCGGAAGATCTCTACTAGTTCATATGGATAGTCTCTAAGTGTGCAAGAGTGGCTGGATTGCTAGAAGCATGAGCAGACTGCGGGTGGCTGAACTGGCCTGTATGGAAGTTGTGATGGCCTGATGCTGATGACGGAGAACTTTGTCCCCTCTTCCTTTGCAGTCCTGGGAGAGTATGAATGATCCCATCCACGACCAGTGTGTTGGCCGTTTGGAAGTCCAATCCTCGAACGCCCCAGACTTCCTCCTCGTTCTGCTACAGAGTCTTCAGATAAGTATTCTGATGCTCAAATGGAACAAGCACTGTGTAGGAGTCTAGCTAACTCTCGACAGCGACCAGATCCACTCCCAGGTATCTAACAATCCTGGTAATGTAAGCTCCTCCGTGCAGAGCCATCAACCTTCTATTTGAACCATGGTGACAAAGAGTCTAGATGATGGAACGTACGAGATGGAGTCGTCTGCCACTTTGCATGCTCCAGATGAGCAAGATATCTCTGTCCGTGAGGTTACCCTTGCTCCTGTACTTCCCGCCAACTGAGCAAGAAATGACATGGTGAATGAGCAGGTACTCGGGTCTCACTTTGCTTCCCTTTGACAGCTTCACATCCCAAGGTCTACAGTGAGGGATCTTCATGAAATTCTCATAGAAGGCATGAGGAAAAGAGAAGTCACTCTCTGCCTTCAGTGAGGAGTAGGAGTGATGATCAGTGATGAACTCCTACGAATATGAGGGCAAAGGTGAACTCCCTCATCGTCATCTCCCGCTCAACTGCTCCTAGTCTGAAGCTTGTAAATCCGCTTGTAAGCAGCACCCTTGATGTTCCGAGTTCAGAGGGTACTCAGGAACTCAATGGTTAGAACCTTGTAAATCAGCTCGCTGATGTCCAACACTCTGAGCCAGACTGGGTCCTGAATCCTAGACCTGATAAGCTCTGCCATGCCTAACTAGTTAAATAGAACCTAGTTGAGGCACTCACTCTCCCTTGTCACCATTCCCTGGAATCACTGTAGTTGCTCTTGGCAAGAAATGGGATCACTTGGAGGAAACGATGATCAATACTAGGCATCACCATCCTAGGAGCTCTCCTCTACGGTCACTCGGGCTGCTGCTCGCCCTCCTCCGGCTGAGGCTCTGGATCTGAATGAAGATGAGGCTCCTCTGGCCTCGGAGCATTCTACTCAGAAGCGGATCCTCGGTCTCTCCATCGATCCCTTCAGACATATTGAAGAAGGAACTTGAAACGACCTTATCATTTCGGAGGGTCAGTGTTCTCTCCTCTATCTCCCTCTATCATTCCTCATGTGCATGAAAAGAACTGTCAACACACAACAACAACACAGTTCAGAATAGGAAGCCAGAATTTCCAGAGGGAAACCCATTTTTCTCATTCTGCAGAATCAGCATGCTCATAGGTGAAAAAATAATTTTGTAAGTTTCAATAAGAAGTTCAAGTAAGCACGACTACAGCTCAACAGTTACAGAAACATAGGGCAGAGTGAGACCAAATTGGGCATGAAACTGTAAGGCAGAACCTTCTCAGTAAACTATAAGACGGATAAAGTGCAAGAACACATTAGCAAACTCAAGTCAAGAGTGCCCAAGACTTAAGCCGAAGTTAAAACGAGATCAACAAAGAGCAGAATCAAGCATTTGGTTCAAGGAATTGAAAATTCATGTGGATCGAGCAAATAATTGAGCTGTGAAATTCAAAAATCCAAACATTCACTCAATATCCCCCACTAGGGCCTCCGAATCCACACACAACTCAATTATTACACATTCAAGGATCTACAAACTCCAAACAATTCAGAATCAATAAATCATTTCCTCAAAAACCGAACAAACCCTAGTTACTCTTCTCCTCTAGCTCGACAGACCCAAGTGAAGAAAGGAGGAGAAATATTCGAAAGCATACCTGGAATCACTTGAAGACATGGTTAAAAGCTGAAAACCCAAGCTAGGAGAGGAAGAATCAAAGAAAATGGAGCTTGGGGATGAAAAATCGAGTTCTCCACCTCCAAACTCGAGTTCTAGGTCAGGAAGTTTGGGAAATTTGGGGGAAATGAGTCTGGTCTGAGAACCTCCCCCGCGATCGTCTTTTATATTGACACCGGGAAGATCGCGGGAGCGAGGCTTAAGATTGAGACCATGATCTTTTCGCCACAGGCCATGATCTCTAACGCTTCAATAGACATCACGGAAAAGTAAAAGGGAGATCGCGACCGCGAAGAAATGCGCAGAGCCAGCAATCATGAGTTGCTTGGACAAAATTAAAGCATAAATCTCTGAACATACCATCGGTGTTTGACTAAACGACATTGGAATTGAATGGCAAGGGATAGGAAAAAATTTCCTAGAATTGGATTAATGATGAAAAGAAAAACTCCAGCAATTAATTAATTAAGATAATTAGAGAGGACTTAATTAAAGTGCAAAGAAGGGTAAAGAAATGATAACTGATGTTGGGGTGCCACCCAACTAGCGTGTCTTTTTAGTTTGTTTCACCGGGCCATCATCTTCAAGTTCTCGGTCCAGCTTAGAACCTCCTTGAAGTTGAGATTCTCTTCTATGAGTCGATGCCTCAAGTCACGAGTCTTGAATGTCATAAATGAGTAGCCGACACATGGACTTGGCGAGGTTTTAGTATTCCCCCACAAGACCTTTTCTTCTTTTTCCTATTCTTCTCGTTGCCCAACACCATGTAATAAAATCTTGGTTGATCGTCATTAGATCCACCAAGAGGGATATTGGACTGTGTGGCCTCAATTTGGCAAAGAGTCGCAAAATGGGTTCTTTTCTAAGAGACCGTAAGTTGGACACCAAATGCACTTGGAACCGTCGTTCCTTTCTCTTTGAAGTGTGGCTACATGTAGGAATGAACAAGACCTTTCCCTTTTTCGACGTTCTTTCCTTCTCCCTAAATGTTATCCATTTCCAAAGAACGTGCTTGCTTAACAATATCTCGAGAGTTCTCCGAGATGAGTCAGTTTTGCTTCTCCAAGTCTTCTTGGCTAGCCTCTACATCCTTCATCTTCATCTTGTTTGGTAAGGGAGAAACACTAGCAAGTTGTGCACACTCTTGCTAAACAATCTCACCTAGCCTCTCCATTTTTCAGAGCATCTCCTCCGTTCTCCATAGTAAAGAATAGTCAATAGGGATTGTTGTTGAAGATTCCACAACGGAGCACGCTTCTGTGTTATGAGTGAACTGCTCCACCAAAAGCTCTAAATGGCTTTTTGATTCCGGTTGTGGACGACTAACTGCATTGAATAGAGAGAATTCTTGTAATTCCCAAGGATAAATTATACGAGCACGGATCCTGTACTCGTAGTTATCAAAGTAACGCAGCAAAGAACTGGGATAAAATGATAGGGATAGGATGGAATTGAAAGTGCAATCTCAACATGATATCCGGAGAAGGCTCAATCAATATAGAAGGGTAGAATCTCGACCACAATCAAGGGGAAAACTTGATTGATATAAGAAAAGATCAAGCCTCAAGCTCAAATCCAAGGTAAAAAATCAATATTCTGCTAAAAAACCAACCCTAAAACCCGAATCTCAACCTTTATATAGGTCTAGACAATTAAAAATTAACAAAAATAAGAAAACCCGAAATTTGGAGTAACCAGTCCCGATCTCATGCCCCGATCTCACGGCCGTGAGATGAGGCCATGAGATCAACTGTCTTCTGAACAGATTCCTGGTATCAGCCCCAAAATACAGGGTCTCCATACTAAAATACCCGGTCGGGTATTTTCCATGCTTGGCCGGGTATTTGCTTCTGAACGGGATCACATCAGTCCCTCCTCGTTGAAGAAGCTTTGCCCTCAAAGCTTTCCATCCCGACTTCCAAACAAAATAATCTAAAGTTCTCCAGCAATGTTCATCGTCTTCTTGTCTCTTCTTCCTGTACTTCCAGTGATAGAAAAGACAATCGTCCATAGAAAAATAAACGTTACGCTCATGCTCCTCTCGAGAAGTGTCTTGAACCCAATTTGCAAGCTCAGCAGTCCTCGTTTCTTGCTTTGCAGTCACGAAGCTCAACGCTTGTGGGATTCTGCAAGAAAATCAACATAAAAAGGATCACTATAAACCATCGGCTTCTTTTCCACCGCGACCAGCTCGTAGGAATCTCCATCTTCCTTCTGTAGTTCTGGACAGTTGATCGACGATTTCTCTGCTTCCAGATTCGCTTGCTCCTTTTCATAACTCAAACTCTGTTCAGCCATGGTTTGAAGCATAGCTCCCCACCTAAGCCATATGTGCTAATAGCTCTCTCATAGCGTCTTCAATGTTTTGCTCCATGGTTTGAACCACAAATACACAAACCAAAATCCAAGATATTTTTTTCCAACCCACGTTCAGCTTTGTGGCTGATGAACAATTTTTTTTTTTTCCAATTAACAGTACCGTGAATAGTACTGCAAATCTCAAACATTTTTTTTTAACTGTGAAACGAAAAGACAATACCTCTTGCCATTGTGTTGAACCGGAGCTTTGATACCACCTGATACGAGCACGGATCCTAGAACATGGATAAAACGATAAGGATAGGATGGAATTGAAAGTGCAATCTCAATACGATATCGGGAGAAGGCTCAATCAATATAGAAAGGTAGAATCTCAACCACAATCAAGGGGAAAACTTGATTGATACAGAGAAAAGATCAAGCCTCAGGCTCAAATCCAAGGTAAAAATCAATATTTTACTTAAAAACCAACCCCAAAACCCGAATCTCAGCCTTTATATTGGTCTGGACAATTAAAAAATAACAAAAATAAGAAAACCCGAAATTTGGAGTAACCAGTCCCTATCTCACGGTCGTGAGATGAGGCCATGAGATTAACTGTCTTCTGAACAGATTCTTGGTAACAGCCCCAAAATACCCGGTCTCCCTACTAAAATACCCGGTCGGGTATTTTCCATGCTTGGCCGCGTATTTGCTTCTGAGCGGGATCACATCAATAAATTTTTACTTCTTGGAAGGAAGGCGAATAAAAGAATATGAATCGTTGACTTCCTCCATCTTGATCGTTCCATGAAGCTTCGGATTAGTCATCTCTAGCTAGTGGTGAATACCCCCGCACTTTGGTGCAGTCATAAGGGTCCATTATTCAGAAGCTATAATCACAAAAATTTAAAGGAAAGATCAGACAAACACAACCCACTCTTCGGGGGGAAAAGTGGATGAAAACAAGGCACAAAAAGGGAAATGCATAACGAAATAATTTCTACTAACAATAATAAAATATAGGATAAGGACTAAACTAACAACTCAATGGTTTTCTACTAGTTACCAAGGTTCCCTGGCAGCGGCGCCAAAAAGATTGATCGATTTCATCCGTACAAGTTATTTTCAATGGTTAGCACGTGTCAACAACTACCCCATCCTAGGTCAAGTTTAACCTAAAATGGCATTGTTGTATAGTGTCAATCAAGGTCGTATTTTCACTCGAGTCCTGGTACCCTATCCTACTTTCCACGTTGTTGTCTAGCCAATTGGTTTAAGTGTTTTGTGTGGAGGATGTGAGTGAACTTCTAGTTAAGAGATCAAATAAAGATAAAAGCAGGTACTTCCGGGAAATATCCCTCATCCTAGCTTAGGACTACTATACAATGTCTATATACTTAGGCTGTATCAAATGTGGTGAGTGAGGTCTTTTCTATGGGCTTTCGTGGTTACCCACACGCCTCTGAGTACGCCTCCCTTAAACTCATTCATAGTCACCTCGATCTAGGCTATCGTACTGGGCATTAAGCTCGTAGCTCCTTTCAATGGGTACTACCCACCATCCATACTGAGGTTTCATCTCGGGTTCTTTCTAGGAAGGCATTCCTATTGTAGGGGTTCGATCGCCTCGACCACCATAGGATCTTATTCATACATCTAACCTCAATTTCACTTTGTCTTCAAGTTCCAAGATCGCGGCTTCCTTCGTGACATCACGGTCACGACCTTTGGTGTCACGGGCGTGATCTTTTTCGCAGTCAAAAAACCCCTTGACTGTGATCCAAGTAGGGATGGCAACAAAACCCGAACCCACGGGTACCCACCCGACCCAACCCGGTCAACGTGGGTAAAATCCATGTTGACGGGTTTTGGATCGGGTTTGGGTTTAAACCCGTTCACTATTCATCGGGTTGAGTTGGGTTTGGGTTTAGGTAAACCCGACCCATGGGTACCCGCCCACACCCATATAATTAATTTTCTCGGTATATTTAATATTCTAAACAACTAATCTTATTTATGTTTGTGGAGACATGTCTAATTTTTCTTTCCAATTGTGTAGAACGAAGTTGATGTTATCTAGTGGAGAGTGAAGAAACTTAATTGAAAGGAAGAAGTTTTCAATAAATCATGTTATTTATGGATAATTTATGATTTGCTTCAATTTTCTTGAGTTTTCTAGATTGGTGTTGAACAATTTGTATAGTTAATTTGTGATTTGCTTGAATTTCTAGAATGGTGTTTTATATATTAACAATTTGTATTGAGAGATTGATATTTGGTTTAAATTTTGATAGGAACTTGTGATTGTAATTTTTTACGACAAAAACCCGTGGGTACCCATGAACCCGCGGATACCCAGCGGGTTGGGTTGGGTTTGAGTTTTTCAAACCCAGTGAGTTTTACCCCGGTTTTTTTCACGGATAAACCCATGGGTTTGGGTTTGGGTTGGCAAAACCCGACCCAACCCGACCCATTGCCATCCCTAGATCCAAGTGTTAAACTTTCTACCCTCTTATTGGTTGCTTGCTGAAGTTCTATGCCACTGTTCATGGCCGCGAACATGGTCACGGCCTAGTCAAGGTCAGGAACGTGGTCACAGCCTGGTCAAGGGTTGTGATGTGGTCGCCACCTGTGTTTTCTCCCTTTTTTGCTTCTATGCTTTCCAATCATGCTCGGATGAACTCCAACTGATTCTGGATCAATCCTAGATGGCGTTAAGCCCTGGAATTTCATTGAAACACTAGAAAAGCATAAAATACGGCAAAGTGGGGTCGATTTCCCCATGAAAACCTTCATATTAAGCTAACTCATGCCAAAATGGATGTTTTGCAAATATGAAAGAATATAGGCCCAAATTAGCTTGATATGTGGCCTAGATACGATGATTTAGCACACAAATGCCTCGAGAATGAGGAGTAAATAACACCAATTTTATGTGTTATCACTATCACTACTCCTTGCTACCTCCTAATCCCTTTACTTTCAATTGTTGTAATTTTTGTTGTCCCCGCAGCATCCATCACTTCTTTGCCGAATCCCTCTCAGTCTTACCAGAATCTCCTCATTCTACTACATATTGAAAAACGAGCGACAGAGATGCTGGAACGTCACGTGCTTGAATTGAAGCAAAGCACGCACATTGTCGTGTTCAGGCCTGACTCCGTTGAGGATGATGTGTACCCTCTTGGCCTATGAATACTTGCTTTCTCCGTCCAGCTGCTCACACTGAAAGCACAGCTCCTTTACTCCCCCGAAGTATGCTGCGATTGACCTGACATATTGCTTCCTCCTCTTCCTAGCTGCTTCTCTAACTAATAGCGACTGGCACATCCCTCATTCCTCTTGCATGCACGAGTTTTCCCAGACTTCCCCTTCCTCCTTTCTTCAGAGCTTCGCGAATCAAGTGGGTGAAATACTCCTTCCTCTTCGTATCCAAGTTGATTCAACGTCAGCGAGGAAATGGGAAACAAGGACAAATCAATTCATTTTCTGAAATAAAACGTAAAAGTGGGAGTAGAGTACACCTGTGGTTCACATCTTCCATCCTATATCGATGGTGGATTCGCACATCTTCCACTGCCGACTCCCCTTTTGTATCTCTCCTTGACTTCGGTGACGTTGGTAGGATATGGCACCGCTAGCCTAGCCCCATGGCTGCTCAACTTCTAGGCTCTAGAGGTGTTCAAAATCCATGAATATCGTCGCCTTCTTTAATTGCTCAAGGGAGATGGGGGATTTGCAATTTAGGATTTTAAAAGTGGGATTTTAGCTTTTTGAAGAAAAAAAGTTGAAGGAGATGAAGCAATTGAAAAAGGAGGTGAGAGAATGCTTCTGAATTAGAGGCATTTTTGTTTTGGTAGAAAGAACGAGGCAATAGACAAATATGAAAAGGAGGAGATGAGAGCGGGCGGAGAAAGAAAGAGACGATGGAGTCGTCTGACTAAGAGGAAAATATGAAGAAAGAGAACGAGGCAAGATGTGAACAAAAAGAAGACAATGAGTTATTTGTTACCCTCCAATTATTTACAATAACTCTACCCAAAATAACTCATCCTGTTAATTTACACCCTACCCTCCAATTATTTACAATAATTCTACCCAAAATAACTCTTCCCATTAATTTGGATCCAAGCCGATTATTTTGTCATCAGAGTTATTTAGACCAAAGTAACTCATCTAAATAACCTGGCCAAACAACCCCGAATTAGACCATCATGCACACAATTTTGAGAATACCCTACCACTATACCTTCTACTTCTACGATTTGTACATCTAGACATAGCATTAACCCGGTAACTTTCAATGGATGATCATGACCAAAAGCTGAACAATAAAACCAAAACTTAGTTGGCTCCTCTGGGAAGAAGTTTTAGGACTAAAAAGAAACCTAATCTACTGTTGTATCTGCCCAGTGACCATTTAACATACAACACAGATTGTTCGCTTTTCTTTTCTCAAGAATAACATACGAATTGCTCTTGCTTCACAGAATCTGGGAGGCCAAAATATTCATTCATCAACACTAAATACGATTCTTCAATCTTTGTTCTTCTTCTTCTTCTTTTTCACCTCTCCATCAGCCTCTCCTCCTTCCCCGCTCTCAGTTATGCTCTTCTTTTTCTTCTTCTTCTCGGTCACATCCCCCTCAACTTCCATTGCAGCCACACCATTTGAGTCATCGTCCAGTTTCCTCTTTTCCTTCTTTTTCTTCTTCTTCTCGGATTTTGGCTCCACAGCATCTCCATTTGTGGCAACAGTTGACTTATCCTCTACGTCTGCAGATTCTGCCTTTGATTTCTTCTTCTTGCTCTTCTTTTCTGAAGCTGCTTCTTCCATTTTGGTATCAGCATCTGCTGCATCAACAGTCGCAGCCCAAAAGATAGCTGAGTTAGACTATGACACAAAGCCTGGGATAACAACATTCCAACACGTGGATCCAATGAAAAGGCAAAATGGTATTTCAATCTGTGTATATACCATCTTCATTTGCTGTCTCCATGGCAGACTTCATCACGTCAATGTTCTTCCGTGGAGCAACTCCCTTGTCATAGAAATCAAGCCGCTCCTCAACCTGTTCCCTCAGTTTCTCTCCAAACACATTTGTACCGTTCTCTGCAACCCAAGGAAAAAACTAAACATACGAACAAAACTAATGGAACTTGTCAAAGTACGGCCAAAAGTTATAAGTTATTTACCAGCAAAACAATCGATTCGAGTAGCAATTGAGCACTTGTTTGCAAGATAACGGGCCATGCGCCCCTTGTTGCGTGCAGATGCTCGACCAATGAAGGAGGAATGGAAAATCAAGCCATATTTGGGAGTATTTCCTCGGGTTTTCAAAGCTCTGTGCACAGCCAAAGATTAGATGAATGGTATGCAATAATTGATGACATAGATACTATGGCATGCCTAAAAAGTGAAACACATAACCCTAAGCATGTAAGTTCAGTAATTGTCTCAGGTTTAATAAAGGAGACCAACAAGTACATGAACTATATCAGACTACCTGAAGAGGGCCTTCTCTGCCCCAAGAATCTGAAGAGTAGAAGAAGGGCACTTGGCCAGATTTGTAAGACTACCAGCATGAGATATCAAACGGGCCCCAACAATTTCACCAATTAAGGCAGCCAAGTTAGGTGCAATGCCATTCATCTTTTCAATTAGATACTCGTGAATATTCTTCCTGTACTCTGCGAGTTCCATTACTCTCTGGGCAAACATTTGGATATTAATCATGTCAACTGGATTCAAATCTTGACCTGCACATAATCGGAAGATAATAAAAATGTGAGCAAGCCAAACTACATATTGGACGACCAACTATCACAGAATGAAAAATGGATATCATATCCTACCCATAGAAGCTTTGGCAGCTTCAATGACCTCTTTAGCTTTATCTTCATCTCCAAGAACTTCTGTTAGCTCAGGAAGTTTGTCCTCAGATAACTTGGACTTGTCCTCGATGAACTTAGCAACTTTTGCAAAAAGATAGTTGTCATTGACAATCTTCACTAGTTCAGGGAAATGCCACGAGTACCACTCTCTGCACAAATCAGTCACTTAATAATCAGAGCGCAAACAAAATGACTAATCCCAACACATCATCTATCCATGAAATCATAGACAACGAACCTAAATCTCATAGAAAATGAATTAACATCCTTGTCCAGCGTATCCAGAAGAGAGATTGCTTGTATGACCATATTGTCAACTCTGTTAACATTGAATTTCACTTTAGCTCGACTGTAGCTGTGCCCAAGACCAAGCTGCGCTTTCTCCAAATCTCCAGGCTATATATAACACAAAACAGTTCTATGAGCTAAACCATCAAGTGGATAGAAGATAAAAGCATAAGGGATAGCATGCGGCCATCAACAAAGAGCAAAACCTTAAGGTCCTTGATGAACCGATCAAAATGCAGCCTGACACCACGAAGCAGCTCAAGAACAAATTCATTGCTTTGACAAGGGATCTTAGTCACTTCAGAGATATGTGACCCAATCTTGTGATCTGCAACACCCAACGAGAACTTTGACTTCTTCCCTTCCTTCACTTTTGGCAGATTAAGCTCCAAGAAGTTCCTCAGCTCATCAGTCATAACCCCTGAGAGAAACAGTTAATAGTCAGTAGGAGTAACAACAATAGTCCATAATCCAGAGCTATGAAACACAAGTACCAGTAAAGCTGAATACATAATCTTTTAAACTGTATCATGAGCATTTCGATAGTGAATCGGAAGAAAGTAAAGTGCCGTAAAACAATCAAAGCCGAGAAGCCATAACGACAAGCATGCAACACGAAAAGGTAAATCCAACGGCCCAACTTCCTTCCCAAATCATATTAAACACAAGAAAACCGAGCTTTGGAGAAAGGGTTTCGCAGTCCTCACCTTCAGAGACAGAGTTACACTGATTGAGAGCATCGAGAGCAGACTCAAAGGGGTGAAAAGCAACGAGCTGGACGACTTTGCCGAACCGGTTCATATCAGAGACAGAGCCCCGAACAGCCTCTGTGTTTTGCCCGATTTCATCGAGCCCGTGAGCAAGGAAAAGACTGTATCCAGAGGCAGCCTCGTAGAGCATGTACAACGCCATTGCTAGGTTTCCTCCACCAGCGACGGAGCTATTGTAGTTGTAGCGCCAAAAACCCTTGCAGTTCGAAGAAAACGGAAAGAAGGTTTTGGCACTAGGGTTTTATATCGACTCTTGTAGTCTATGGTTTATGCGATTAGGGTTCTGGTTTTTTTATTGCGGAGCCGAAGTTGCTCTGCGACGGGTCGGATCCGTGCTCGAATTCGGTTATGTTGATGTTATGGGCTTTCTCTTTTATTATGTTGTGAAACGGGTGGGCTTCCTTTGAATGACAAATTGCAAAGAATTTACAAGACTTTTTTCCATTGGATCTAACATTTTAGACAAATCCCACGTCGACAAAATATGGAAAAATCCCAAGTAATACATGTTTTTAAAAAAAAATTCTCAAAATACACACGTTGTGAAAATAATTTCCAATCTACGCATGTTTGGGTATCACCACGGCAGAGGAGGGCGGTGATTGCATCACCGAATGAGAGAAGGACGTTGATTGCATCACCGCTGTGGAGGAAGGCAGTGAATGCTTCACCGCATTACACGGCCGCGGTGAAGGCCTGACCTGCGTCGAAACTTTAAACAAACGTAACTTTGTGTTCGGTTATCCGATCGTAGCGAATTTTTTTGTTCTCGAAAAATTATGCGGAATCGAAAAAAATTTCGCTACGATCGGACAACCGAGCACAAAGTTACGTTTGTTTAAAGTTTCGACGCAGGTCAGGCCTTCACGGCGGCCGTGTAATGCGGTGAAGCATTCACCGCCTTCCTCCACAGGGGTGATGCAATCACCGTCCTTCTCTATTGCGGTGATGCAATCACCGCCTTTCTTTCATGCGGTGATGCAACCACCGCCTTCCTCTGCCGCGGTGAAGGCCCAAACATGCGTAGATTGGGAATTATTTTCATAGCGTGTGTATTTTGAGAATTTTTTTGGTTAAATACACTTGTATATCCAAAACTTTCACGGTTGTGCCAATAATATCCAAATTTCCCGAAATACCACTTATATCCAATTACTTCACATTCTTTAACGGTGTTTTTAGATATACAAGTGTATTTAACCAAAATTATATTGGGAAATGGATAGATTTGGCAAAGAACAACTTTAAAACATGGATATAAGTGGTATTTCGGGAAATTTGGATATTATTGGCACAACTGTGAAAGTTTTGGATATACAACCAATTTTTTTTAAAAAACATGTTTAACTTGGGATTTTTTCCGACAAAATATGGGAGAGATTCATGATTCATAAGTAAGAAACCAACCTTAACTGACAAGACGCGTTTTGGAGTGAAATGTGTTTTGTCGAAGTTAAACGTGCTCAGTGTGGAGTACAACAAGGATGGGTAAACTTATGGGAAGTCACCTTGAATTGCACCCCAAGTCAAAAAACCGTGAGGGCCGAGGCCCAAAGCGGACAATATCTTCGTCGGGAAAAGGTTCAGGATGTTACATTAGATCTTCTCTGAAAAAGAGAGAGGAACAAAGATCTACGGATTCACAAGAAAACATGTCTACAAAGCAAACAAAAAACAAAGTCAAACCGGTTTAGGATTCTTTTTCCTTTTCTATACTTTCATTAGTTTTATTTTCAGACCTATTTAAAGGGTTGTAAACTATGTTTTGATGGAGATTATGTTGAATAGAAAAAAACCTTTTCGGTTCATTGAGTTTTACTCCTGAATTTCGTCCTTGTTTGTTGGTGGATCTCCAGCATTCGAGCGAGCTCTATATCAATCTGGTATTCTCCTTGATTGTGTTCGATTTGCTACCATTATATTGTTAGAGCCTTCTCCCGATTTCATGTTGAGATTGCACGGCAATTTCTGCTCTATCATTTACTTTTCGAGTTGTTTAGAGAAATTCAAAAAAAAAATCCTAAAAAGATAGTGCATACACGACTTTGATCAAAAGAACCTAAACTTTCACGAGCTAGAGATCTTATCATAAAGGACCTACATAACACACACATGGGAGCACCGTTTGTCTGACCAATTGAGTGAGCGAACAAAAAAAATGAGTGGGTGAGTGAATGGGTTTGTGTCAGATTGAAGCTATAACTTTTTGGAGAAATTACGAATTAATTATATAATTTATTTTCTTATACAAAGTGGAAAATGTAGTGGAGGATAATTAATACCCGAACGCGTCTTAATTAACGTGACTTATCCCCCCACGAATAAGAAATGTTTCACCACCTATAAATAGTAAACTCTCAAGACCCGCTAGAGACAACCGAATGATAGTCTGTTGTGTGCATTGCGAGGCAGCGTCCTAAACGTCTTAAAGAGAGCGATCTAATCCGCGACGTGGCAAGATTCAATGATCTTAGTTTCTAATGTTCGGTTTCTAACAATTTTAAGACATTGTGCTACTTCTATGACGAATGAAAATTACATCAGATCTGGCACAAGCGATATTAATCGCCCCTTCCCACTTCCAAGGAGCCAACTTTCGTCGCTGGAAATAAAAAAATGTTGTTCTACCTTATGACCACGAAATTGAAGAATTTCTCATCTCGATGTCAGCATATCTAAACGAAGAACCAACCGATGCAGAGTTAATTGTTGTTGCAAGGGGAAAAAGAGGATGACTTTGTGTGCAAGAACTACATCCTCAATGTATGTAGATTAGAACAACACTGCGATGATGGTGTGAGATGTTCTCCAAAAGAAGTACGACATTGAGGAGGTTGAAACCAAGAAGTATGTTGTTAGTCTCTAACTACGATGTCAGATGGTGGACGAGAAATCTGTCGATTTTCAGTTCCACGAACTTCAAAAAATTTCTCATGAGATCGTCTCTGAAGGTATGCCTCCCGACGAATAGTTTCAAGTTGCTAGTATTATTGTTAAGTTGTCCCCTTCATGGAAAGACTTTAAAAACGCTCCTATGCATAAAACCAAAGAATTTTCATTGGAAAATTTGGTTACTCACCAAAGGATAGAAGAAGAGGCTCAGAAATAGGATACAAAAGAATAAGTTTTGGTGGTCACTGGTCAGTACTAGACGTTCAACTCACAGGCTGTGAAACCAAATCAGAAGGGTTTCAAGAGCTAGAACCAGAAGATCCGCACCAATGAGAATGGTGCCCCTCATGGTAGCTAAAGGGCCATGGGCCAATCCTCTAAGGATGACACTCAGTTTCTCTGCTATAATCGCGGGAAACCAGGTCATATGGCACGAAAGTGCAGGAATAAGTCTAACACTGGTTCTAGTGTTAACTTAACTAAAGAGGATTTTGTTGCTATAATCATAGAGCCGATAGCTGAAGTTAACCTCACTCGTAACTCAAAAGGATGGTGGTTGGATATGGGTGCCTTGAAGCATGTATATAATAATCATGCTACGTTCAAAAATTACACCGAGGCACCCGTTGATAAGAAAGTGTTGCTGGGGACTACCCGCACCACTATTGTTGTTGGTTCTGAGAATGTGGAACTGAACTTTACCTATGACAAGACACTGACTCCGCAAGACATCTTGTACACTCCAGAGATAAGGAAGAATTGTTTTGCATTATCTTCTTAATAAGGTTGGGTTTAATCAAGTTAGAGGGGCTTACTTGTATACCCTTACCAAGAATGAAAATTTTGTGGGAAAAGGGGTATGCATGTGATGGAATGTTCAAACTGAATGTTGAAGTGAATAAGATGACTTCTTCTATTTACATTATGTTTGATTTTAAAGTTTGGCATACTCGTATCTGTCACGTGAACACATGGATTATGAAGAATTTGAGCAACTTAGGACGCATCCCTAAACACTCAATTGATGAATTTGACAAATTTGATTTATGTAGCCAAGTTAAGATAACAAAAATGCCTCATAAATATGTGTTTAGAGAATTAGAATCCATAGAATTGATTTATCTTAATATTTATGAATTGGATGGGATATTTTTAAGGAATGGCAAGAGATACTTATCACGTTCGTTAATGACTGCTCTGATTATACTTTATTTTACTTGATGAAAAACAAAAGCGATGTTGATATGTTCAAATTATTTGTGATAAAATTTGAGAATTAGTACAATAGAAAAGTCAAATTACTTGGGAGTGATAGAGGATCATAATATGATCTAATCCTTCCAAGGAATTATATAGCTCACATTTTATCATTCATGAAACTACTACATCTTATTCGCGTGAAATGAAGGGTAACATTGAGCAAAAGAATTGACGTGTACTCAATTAGTTGTGGCTATTATGCTTAATTATAGTGATGCGTCTTCTTGGTAGGGTGATTTTATGTCGACTATATGTTATGAGCTTAATCGTATTCCCAAAGCAAATAATAAAGAGTCACTCTATGATATATGAAGAATAGACCACCTAATATGTCATATTTAAGAATGTGGGGTTGTTTGGCCTACAGAATAATTTCGGATCGTAAGAGGATTAAACGAGCTAGTCGAGCATATGATTATGAATGTGTCTTTATTGGCTATTCTGCCAATAGTAAGGCATATAGAGTCTATGATTTGAATGCTCGTATTATAGTGGATTCCAATTATGCCAATTTCTTTGAGACTCTGATTTCCATTTAAAATGAGAAATAGTGTGGGTAATATCTTAACCGCTATTAGAGATAACAAAACTAGTAGGGGTGTTGGATCAGATTTGGAACTTAGAATAAATAAAAGGGCTAAAATCTCTATGAATTTTAGTTCATATTTTACTATAGTATACACCCTAGAAGATCCTACAACTCTACATGAAGTTCTGACTTCCACCGATGCAGATTTGTGGGAAGAAGTCAATAACGAAGAAATGGATTCTCTTGCGTCAAATAAGATTTGGCATGTTGTAGACTTACCTCATGCCTGCAAACCCTTAGGTAATAGATGGATTTAGAAAATAAAACTGAAACCTTATGGTTCCCTTGATAAGTTTAAGGCTCATATAGTAGTTAAAGGATGTAGACACAGAGAGATATAGATTTCTTTCATACCTATTCACTACTATCTAGAATAATATCTATACTTGATGTGCATCACATGGATATTAAAAATATTTTTCTAAATGGTGATTTAGATGAAGAAATCTACATGGAACGACCTGAAGGGTTTGTCACTCATAAGCATGCCTCAAGATAGAAAATTCATTGTATGGTTTGAAATAGTCTCCAAA